TAATTGTTTTATATTTTAACTTTTTAATAAACAATCCGATCAAACTCAACCCAAGTTGGTCGGTTTTCTAGTATTTTAGATCGACTTTGGTTTAATATTTTATATTTTAAATTTAATTTTTTAATTAGGAAAATTCCCATATTTCTTAGTCTAAAATATTTGATATCTTAGATTTAATTTTTGTAATTTATTTTTTAATAATATCATTGTAATTTATGAAATTTAAAGTTAATTTTTAAGTTTAAATCTTTTGGACGAACAAACTAAACCGACAATAGACCCAAATCGATACAATCCGAGTTGGTGGGTTTTCACTAATGGTCAATCGGTTTCGAGTGACAAACTACAGGCTTGACCTGATCGATTTGGTTGGCGAAACAACTTGCAACTGAATTGAACCAATCATTGAATACTCCTAATTTCAACTAAATTTATAATCTAATCTCTAATAAATAACAATAGTTTAATCTCCAATAATTATTGAAAATTTATAACAAATGTATACAATCATTAGAAATAAGTTTATAATGAAAATATAATAGAGATATAATAAAAATACAATAATTACAAAAATATAATAAATACTAAAAATATACTAAATTAGTCAATAAATAGTGTAATATCAAATAATAGTTTAATATCTAATAAGTATTAATCTATAAATTATAAAAAATATATAATTAATAAAAATAAATTTATAACAAAAATACAATAAATATGATAAGTTAAATTTTAAAAGTTAAATAATAGTTGTTCAATCTCCAATAATTATTGATAATTTTCTATTAAATAACAAAAAATAGATTTATAAATAATTATTGAAAGCATATTTATAAAAAACAATAAATAATTACTGAAAATAAAATAAATATTAATTATAGTATATATAAATATAAAATGAATATACACTATTATTGTAAAATTATTACTAATAAATATAATTTTTTTGATAGTTATTTTCTATAATTATTAATTGATATAAGTGAAATTAGTTATTTACAATATTATTTAGTTATTGAAATAATATTGTTATTTAAATTCTTAAAATATTAATTATTTATTGAATTCAATAATCCATAAAATTGTAATTGCACTATTATTACATAATTCGTTATTAATATGAATATTATGAATTCTATTATAAATATTTTTCTACTTTTAAGAAATTTTGTTTAAATTAATTACATAATTTCGTTATTTTAACTATTTAAAATTTAGTCATGTTAGATATTTTTTATTTAAATATTTAAATAATATGTAAAATACTTAAAAATTTTCATTATTTGAATTTTATTTATTTTAATGTTATTATGTAATATTAAATATTTTGTTATATTATTTAGCTATTTTTAATGTTTTTTTATTTAAGATCTTTTGTTATTGAAATATTTAAATAATGTTTTATTTTTTAATGTTAAATTTTTGTTATTTGAATAACATTTAAATTGAATAAGTCGTAAAATTATAATTAATGTTGTTACTACATAATTTCATGACGAGCTTTGTAAAAATATTGAATTATTAATAATATGAATATTATTAAATCTATTAATTTTTTGTGTTTTGAATAAATATTTTAAATTTAGTATATAGTTTTGTTATAACATTGAAATAGTTCTGAATTTTTTCAATTGAAAATTTCTTTATATAGACATAGATAAAAAGTAGGGGAAAGGATAAATAGGAATTAGAGATAGTTTAGGAGAGAACCTCTCTACTAAATTAGATATAATTTAAGAGATAAATAGGAGTTAGAGATAATTTAGGAGATAAATAGGAATTAGAGACAATTTAGGAGCAAATCCCTCTTTCTTTATGGTTGTTAGAAAATAGTTGCATATGTGATTTTCCTTATTAGTTTAATGGGTAATTATGTGGGATTAAAAAAATAAAAAATTCAAAAAAATAGAAAATTAAGAAGGGGAGTTTGAAGCTAGGAGAGGACTACTGACATGGCAGGACCAATTTTAATATATATATATATATATATATATATATATATTATGTGAAATAAAAAAAAATTAAAATTAAAAAGACCGAAAATTAGAAGATTTGAAGTAAGAAGAGGTATGGTAATGTGGACCATCTTACTATATATATATATTCTATTCGGGTCACAATGCAGACCCAGACCCTTTGTCATTCGGTATGTTGGGTTCCATTGGGTCTGTCCCATCCATTGATAGCCCTAGGATTACACCCAATCTGACCAAGCTAAGTTGGAGTATGGGTGTCATATACTACTCTGGATAATCAATTATCAGATGGGTCCGGGTCGGGTCACAAATGAAAGAACCCATCTACAATTGGACTTTGGATCTTCTACACAACTCTGTACATAAATCAGATCCAGACATATGTCAAAGATACGTATTTGACATGGGCAACGAAATCGGAGCACATCAAGTCCTCTGCACACCTTTCTTCGTATATGCAGCAGCTCTTGACCTTTTTGAAATTACCTAAATCCAATATCGTCTCAAAACTAGGGTTGCAAGTCGGGGCGTGCAGTATCGGGTTTTAGCTCAATCCAAGTCGGGGCGTGCTGTAATCCAGGCACAAATTAGCTCTAAAGTTTGAACCTGAGGTAAATTTTGAATTATTTAACTTGATTCTAACCCACACTGAAATTTGATTTGGGTTGGGTTTGGTTGGGTTGAGTTCAAGTTAGTTAATCAATTTTGATATATATATATATATATGTGTATATGTGTATATGTATGTATGTATGTATGTATTTATGGTTTATTACAATAAATATGTATATATGAATGAGACTTGGGGGGGTGTTCTTTTTCTGGATTTTGAGAGGGAGAAAGTTGGTCAATAGGATTTTGGTTCCTATTTATGTAGGGATTAGGGAAAGTTTATTTTCCTGGGCATTACTTACCCAAGGGAGTCACTAACATTTGAACGAGACAAAAATGCCCATTTTAATAATAATTTTTTATGGCTAAAATGGTTATTGCCCTATTTACTTGGAAAATAAAAAAATATGATAAATACACTTACCGGGATAAGTAACTTATCAAAAAATGAATGGGGCCTTGAATAATCCCACCTACACCTGGATTGGGAGGTTTATGGATTTGGGGGATGGGCTACCCCATTATATAGCCCCTTGGAACCAGAAAAAAGTGCCTATTTGGATTGGTTTCTGGCTACCTAACGGCTAGATCTGAGCCCGGCCCAAACCCAATAAAAAAATTAAGGTTCAGTTTTAAAAGAGTATAAAACTATAAATACAAATATATACAGTATAAATACATACAAAATAATACAAAATACAAGGTTTTACACTGTATATTTGTATTTGTACTCTTTCCAAACTGAGCTTAAAAAACTTGACCTTTTAAGTCCAGACAAAAAATAATAATAATAAAAAACTCAAACTTTTGGTGCAGATCCAACCCAAGAATCAATAATCTAAGCCCAGCCTGTATAACATTGCAGGTAGACCTGTTCATAGGCTGGCCGGGCTTCAGGCTAAATTTATACTGTGTTGGGCTCGGGCTTTGGGCTGGGCCCATTCAAAATTTGGCAAAAGCCAAACGTGAGCCCGGCCCATGAACAGGTTTAATTGCAGGCCTGGTCCGGCTTGGGTTGTGCCTGCCCAACATGCACCCCTACTCAAAACCATGGTAGTTGGAACATTGGAAAGAAGAAGTGGGCATGAGGCCGTCAAATTGTGTGGGCCTTGCAGTAATATCTGACCTGTGGGTCAAACGTCCCAACCCAGGATGGGAATCCATTTGATGATGCCAACTGCCTCGCCCATTGGATGAAAAATCGGATTCAGTCAGTGTAAGACCCGAACAAACTTTATAGCTTTGCATGAGAATATCTCTTCATGAAATAAAGCACAAAAGTACAAAGATATCCGAATGTAAGACTGTAAAAGCTATTCCAACGGTGTTCGAACGGTCTTGCACTGATTGAAGCTGATCCCATTGGATAATGGGTCCAATTCCAACTCCCTCCGAAAAGGACCAAGACGAGCACCACCATATAATATGGTGTGGTGTGAAGCATGGTTTTTGAAACCGGACCGGACCGAAAAACCAGAAACTGGTCACTTGATTGGTTCCGTTTCCTCCAAAACCGCTTTTTTCCCCAAAACTGTTGATTTTGGTCAGAAAACCGTTGAACCAGTCGGTTAACTATTCAAACTGTTCGAATGGTTTTGACCATTTTTTCTTTTTTTTTTAATTTTTTGTCAAAATGGACCAACCATTCAACCCGATAGCTGGACCCCTGACTGATTTGATCACTGGGTTGATTTTAAAAACCATAATGTGAAGTAACAAATCATTACTTAGCAGATATCTATCAAGACCGACCCATTCGAACAACCTTTACAACCTTGCATCACGAATATCTCTGTTCTTCTGTTGTTTATTTTATGGGAAGATATTTCCAGGCTATAATAGATGTTCAATGGACTTTGCACCGACTGAATCCGGTTCCACATCTATCTATATTAATATCCTTCATGAGTCATGGCAGCACTCCAGTACCGAATAAGTCAATTAAACTCCCACCACAGAAATCCTCAAGAAATCGATATCTATCCAGTTTTTTATCCCCATGACAAGAATCCACAACTGAAACCTGTCACTTCCCAACGTACTACTCGCCTATTGTTCAAAACGAACAAAAGCCTTGCTTTCCAAATATCAATTAATCGGATCACCAGGGAAACCCGCTGGCTCTACCCATCCCTTTCTCGGGTTGGGTTGAGAATTATGTAAACTCGGTGCTTTTGATACTGCCGCTCATAGGCCCACAGTCGCTAGATACCAACAAACGAATTCAGGTTGAAAAGAAGGATAGAACACAGAATTAGCATGGTGACATTTTGATTCCTCAAACTTTCATTTGCACTAAGGAGTTCGGATCTCCAGCCCACACAAATTCTACTTATGTCTATCCATATAACATCGCAGTCACATATGGAGATTATTTCTTCCTCCTATGTAGTATATTATGTAGGGGGAGACGTAGGCAGGAGATCCAGAGTATATGCAGTGGGGAGCAAATGTATATTCTCACTATTTATACAAGATAGCTCTCAGTACAGACTCCAGAACTCCTACCCACAAGATCTCTTCTCACGTCTACTTACAATACACTATTCTGATGAATTGAAAACATCAAGATGTTCTCCATGTGCAACTGGGCAGAGTTTATGTGAGCGGGAGATCTGGGCTCATATATATGGATTGTTCTGTGTCAATTCAGGGCAGTACTGTCCTCTCAATTTCCTTTCCACGTTTCAATTTTTGTTTTCTCTGGCCCAATTGAGAAAAAACCGTATTCGGATCCATTTCCACGTAACGAAGCGAAACTCTACATCTACTTGTAGGCGCCGTCTTTTCGTGAGTTTAACAGTTACCATCTTCTCTCTCTCTCTCTCTCTGTCTCTCTCTCTCTGTGTCTGCGAAATGATCCACCAGCCATTACCGTCTCTTCTGATTCTTCAGGGTTCGTGAGAAAGTATTAGAAGGGAGTAGAAATACGAAGATGGTGGTGATGGGATGTTGTTGTTTCCATCAACCTCACCAGCTTGGGTGCTTCCTCGTCTTCGACATGAACCGGTTTGCTACTGCTGGCGTAGGGAAAGGTTGCCCGTTAAAGCTTCCTCTCTTCTCTGGGTTCAGCAGGGAAAGCAGAGTCGTCGGATTTGGGTTTCTTTCACATAGAAAGGACGGGTTTGGGCTTAATTTCGTCGCCCCAGCTGGGTTCTCTAGCTCCTTTTCGTTGCATATCGGCTTGGACACTGAGGTGATGATTCGGAACTTCTTCCTTGCTTATCGTATTGACTTTTCTTCTTTTGATAAGTAGATTTGAGGACCAATAGTAGGAAGATCAAGTATTTAACACACGCACACACACACAGAGTTTTGGTCGTGTCGGTTACTCAATTAGACGTGAAGTTGGTAGCTAGAAAACTCCCATCTCTTATAATTGGAATTCTAATCAAATGGGAAGATTGATCCTTCAAACCATTGAATTATAGGCAGTTCAACTTCCAGTAGCACAAAGGTCCATTTATTTGTAATCATCTTATGAATCAATCCTAAGTGAGTCAATAGTAAAATATGAACCCTTGGGTTTTGTGTGGTGAAAATTATTTTTGCACAATTTGGGTGAAGTAACAGTGTCATAGTAATAAAATAATTGTGTTATTATTCTCTTGCATTTTCTGTTGCTATTTTATTAAGCGATAGAATGCTTGTTTTTCCGTTTTATTCCTAATACCCTTATGTATCAGCAGAGGCATCTATTTATTCCCTGAATCTTTCTGGTTAACTTATTTGTGTATTGGTTTTTGAACGCCTTTTGCCTTTAGTTTTGGTATAGCAGATAAATGTACCACTTATCTTTCTCCATGTTGATAGATGCTTTTTAAGGAGCATTATCTTCTCCAGGACTAACACAGGTTTTTTCTTTTTCTTCTTTTTTTTTTTTTTTTTTTGAATTTTGGGTTAAAAGACCTTACAGTCTCAAGATTTATCCCAGTTTTCTTGGATTGGTCCTATTCCTGGGGACATTGCAGAAGTTGAGGCATATTGTAGAATTTTCAGAGCTGCTGAGCAGCTTCACATTTCTATAATGGACACATTATGCAATCCATTGACTGGAGAGTGTACTGTTTCATATGACCTCCCCTCAGGGGAGAAATCATTGTTGGAAGATAAGTTAGTAGCAGTGCTTGGCTGCATGGTGGCTCTTCTGAACAAAGGAAGGGCAGAAGTTCTTTCTGGGAGGTCTGCTTCCATGAAGTCCTTTCAAGTTGCAGATGTAAATTTCTTGGAAGATAATCTTCCACCACTTGCCACTTTTAGAGGTGAGATGAAAAGGTGTAGTGAAAGTTTGCACATTGCCCTTGAGAGCTATTTGGCACCATCTGACAGCAGAAGTGTTGATATATGGAGGAAAATGCAGAGGTTAAAGAATGTTTGTTACGATATTGGTTTTCCTCGTAGGGATGATTATCCCTGCCAGACAGTGTTTGCAAACTGGAGACCTGTTTATTTATCCACTACAAAAGAAGATTTGGCATCCAAAGATTCTGAAATAGCTTTCTGGAAGGGTGGCCAAGTAACAGATGAAGGTTTGAAGTGGTTAATAGAGAATGGATACAAAACTATTGTAGATCTTAGAGCAGAAATAGTCAAGGATGATTTCTATCAAAAGGTTCTTGAAAATGCCATCTTGCAGGGGAAAATTGAAGTGGTAAAATTACCAGTTGAGGTTGGGACTGCACCTTCAGTGGAGCAGGTGGAGAAATTTGCATCTTTCGTTTCTGATGTCAATAAAAAGCCACTATATCTACATAGCCAGGAAGGAGTTTGGAGGACTTCCGCTATGGTCTCAAGATGGAGGCAGTACATGGTCCGATCTCATTCCCAGTCTGTCATGAACCACCCAAGCATTTCCAATGAAAATGTGTTAAAAAGTAAAGAAAGAAAGGCAGACCCACAGAAATCATCAGAAGTAAAAGAAAATATACCTCTAGAAAATACAAATGGTTCACTTCTCGAGAGCTTGAGTGGCACCAACAGTTCCAATGAAATATCTTGTGAAATAGTTTCTTTGTCCCAGGAGAACAAGGACAATTGTGACAATGGTACCTGTAAAGACCTTATCTTTTCCGAAGATACTACACCAACACAAGTGGCTACTGTCTCTAGAGATAAGGTAGGATCTACTGAAAGCTTCTGGAGGAAAATTGATCCGTTAAAGTCTCAGATCCCAACCTGTGATGTTTTCTCCAGATCTGAGATGTCTAGGTTTTTGGAAAGAAGGAAGATCTCACCTCCCACTTTTTTAGATTATGAAGGGATTGGATCAAGGTCATCACCAGTCTCCAGAGAGTCATGTGCAAAGATAGATCAGAAAAGTGAAATTAGCGAGACTTCCTATATATCAGAGCTGGAAAAGGAAGGAAATTCAAGAGGGACATTTCATAATAAAATTTCATATTTAGAGCCAAAAAATTCTTCTAGCAATGGTGTTTATCTGGATGGTGATACATCTATTTCTATTTCTCCAAATGTGAATGTATCTGCTAAAGTGGGAAGGCATGATGGGATTGAGAACAAAACTTACACCAGTGCAAGTGATAACCTAGAAAGGAATGTTACATCCACAGCTATTAAAGTGAACTGGGAGAACAACTTGGAAAGTAATCTTACATCAACAGATGTTAGGGAGGATCAAATGGGCAATGGCAAAGCCACCACAGCTTCAGTTAGTGATGACACGGAGATTGTTGAGGGGAATATGTGTGCTTCTACAACTGGTGTTGTAAGAGTGCAATCAAGAAAGAAAGCAGAAATGTTCTTAGTCCGCACAGATGGATTTTCTTGTACCCGGGAGAAAGTAACAGAATCCTCCTTGGCCTTCACTCATCCCAGTACCCAGCAGCAGATGCTCTTGTGGAAATCAACGCCAAAAACTGTACTATTGTTGAAGAAGTTGGGTCATGAGCTCATGGAAGAGGCTAAAGAGGTATCTTGTATATTTTTACATTCTGGTTGAAAGGACTTTTAACTTGTATTAGGCAATGATATTTATGGACATCAAAGAGTATTTTTTTTTGTAATTTTTTGAGTAAAAGGTAAGGTATTATTATATATTAGATCCAGTAAAATCATGTACAGCCAGAAACTATACATCAGCAAGGAGAGCTATAAAAAACTGATAATCTCCCCAATCACAAAGTATAATCCCAAAATGTTCTTTGCATCAAGTAAATATAGTACCAAAATTGAAAAAATCATAGTGTGGAATTCTCCTAAACAAGTCTCTAGCTGATAACCAAGAATATGTAGTCGTCACGGCCTGATGTAACAACTCCTCACTCCTATTTTCAAACACCCTCTGATTTCTTTCTCTCCAGATTACCGAACTAACCATAGATGGAATAATGCTCCAGAAGCTTTTCCATTTCTGATTCAAACTCACCAACTTCCAAGATCCAAGACTTCAGCAACTCAATAGACTTCTTGTCTGACAATAATGTTATATGTTGTTTCAACTGTTCCCAAGATTTAGAAGATGCTTATGGTTTAGCCTGTGAGTAATGGTAGGGATAGAAGAATAGAAAAAAATATGTTTGGAGATATGAGAAAGCTAGAAACATAAGAAGAATGGAAAAAGGAGGTGGTCGTAATCTGAAATCTAGTTTGTGTAAAATTAGTACTTTTACTCTAGGTAAATGGCCAATCAGTATGGATTGTGGTAAATTATTCTTTATGATTCTATTAGCTACTGGAAATAATTGAGTAACTACTAAAACTATTCAAGATTATTGTTTTTTTATTGGAAACTGTAACTTCATTAATGAATTTTCAAAATACAACTTTCAACCCCTAGTAAAGGGGTTGAACCACAACACTGAATTACAATACTACCCAAAACATATTCCCCCTAACAGTCCCTTGTTTTGCTAAGGTATTCACTAGTCCATTAGCTGATCTTCTTGTCCAGTTAAAGCAAGCACCAATCTCCCTTGTTAGGCTGACAATTGCCCTTAACAATTGTCTATGTGTCCATGCTCCCATACTACCTGAATCCAACCATCCAATTACCAACTGCGAATCCCCTTTTATTTTGACTTGTTGTAGTCCCAACCGCTTAGTGTATCTTACACCTTGTAGTAATGCCATGACTTCTGCTCTCAAAGAGTCACCCACTCCTTTTGGGCCAGAGAACAATGCTAAAATTCTGTCTTCTCCATCTCTGAAAACACCCCCTATACTTGAGGGCCCTGGGTTG